AGATTTTTGAATATTCAGATGACTTGAGTTGCAAATGTATACTCTAAATTTTGGTTTATTATACAGTATTTATAAAGTGCCAATAGTTCGCTCAGTGCTGTACATTACAAAGGGGGACAGAACATGTGACAGAACAATACCAATACAATGTAAAACATGAGGGGATTGAGGGCCCTGCTCTTTCGAGCTTACAATCTAGGAGGGAGGGGATGGTGGCACAGGAGGAGATAGCTGTGGGGGATGGAGTGGTAGGAAGAGTGGAGGTCGGCAAGTTAGCAGGGGGTGGGGTAGGCTTTCCTGAAGACATGGGTTTTCAGGGTGCGCCTAAAGGAGAGGCAGAGAAATTTTTCTCACTTCAGTTCTCAGGGAAAAATCTTCTCTGTCCCCCTGTTTATGAAGCGGAGAACATTTTTCCTAAGAAGAAAATTTTTTTTCTCCCCCCCCCCCCCCCCCCCCCCCCCCCTCTGAGATCTGTGCAGAAGGGGGGACGGCTGCATGTGATCTCCTGAGATAATTGTGTGATACCAGATCACCTGAGTTTAAACCATGAAACCAAAGTTAAAGACCATGCAATTACATGAAAATAATCACTAACCACTGGTATTTTTAATGCACATTTTGGCACATTCTTTAAATGTGTATTTTAGCTCCATTTTTTTTATTGCGCATTTTAGCATTTACATTTGTTTTGCCGCTTCTTAACATGCCATATCTTTTTAACAAGCATTTCGATGTGTTTAATGTGCATTTTTGGCACAGGTTAACATGCATTTTGGTGTGGTATGTAACATGCACTTTGGCACTTTTTTTCTTAGCATGTATTTTGGAACTTTTTTTGTGCATATTTTGGTTTTTTGCATATTTTGGTAAACTGCACATCAGCTATCCACTTTTGTGTAAAATGCATTTCAGAACATACACATACACACATGCGTACGTACACGTAAAAAAATGAGCTAAAACCTGTTAAAGCACCAAAATGCACATAATTTCAACCCACTTTTCTTTTCTTTTTTTTTAAATGTTTTGAAAAAAGCAATATGTTGAAAACGTCACCAAAAAATGTGCATTAAAAAGGCCCTAAACTGGCCTTTTTTGTCAGCATGGTGTTGTATTTTTTCAATATGCATTTTGATGCGCTTGTATTGTTCAAATGACAAATTGTGCGGCAAAATGCATGTCTGCTAACATTTGGGGTGCCATGGAATGGTACCCAAAAGCGCACTGTATTTTAGAACAATTTGGAGTTGTGGCAAGAATTGTGCAATTCTGCATTGCTCAAGTGTGAATGCGTTCTAAACCATACACTATATAACTATAGTGTGGGTGTTTATCACAATATAAATTTTATATTAGAACTATCCTCCTCCCGCCTGGCCTATGGCTGAATGGTGGCCGGCAAAAACACTCACCTTTCCGGGTGGACGCCATATGGTGTCCTTTCGGGCATGCGTGCCTGCAGAGCCGTGCAGCGGCGCGATCAGTCATCGGCCATGTACCTTGGACATGGCCGATGACCGATCTGAGTACTGGCCCCGTTGCCAGTACCATGTGACCAATCACAGCAGGTCACATGACAGTTGTATACAATGGATGGCTTCATTCATGCCATCCATTGTATACTAGTGTCTACACCGCTGACACGCCAGGCAGCATGTACCAGTGCAAGTCTGAAGCACAACTTGTCTCATTTCAATCCGTGAACCATAATGGACTGGTGTTGCTATACCACTTAGCCAGCTATCCTGCTCTATAATTTTAAACCTTACCTAATCCACACAATGATTTAATCTAGTCTGGTAAACCAATGTTTTAAAGTTAAAATACCACTGTGTCACGTTCCACTAACAATATACATCCAAAACAATTGGTGCAAAACAAACTGAGTCCTCAGAAGGAATCCTCCAAAACAATCTGATCCTGTAGTGTCTTCAATAGTATATTGCAAACTAGTATAAAGTATAATCCACCAAATTGATATATTTATATTGTGCTCATACATCAGGTGAGGGCACAACTGGTGAAGATGTCCAAACCGTTAAGTGTGGTCATAAAAGCTTGTGTCCCTTTTTTAATTGGGTACTGGTGGGTAATTACCAGCCGGGACCCGGTGATTGATATCCACGAATGGTGGCGCGGGTAGGGCTCGCATGCCCCCTACCAAGAGATGCAAAATATATGTATGTGTGTATGTGTGTATGTGTGTGTGTGTGTATATGTGATTATGCACACAGGTGAAGTTCTCTAGCAGTATATCTGCTATAGGGCTGTCCTTAAGCTTTCCAATCCCTCTACTCTATCAAAAATTCAAAAAGGTTTGCCTTTAGTTTTACTTTAACTGCTCGTCTATTCCTACTGTCTGTGCCCCCTGTTAAGGAGACTCAAATTATCAAAGTATAGCACAAAGAATAGAGGTGATCAAATTTGGGGGGGGGGGGGTTGGTTTGAGCTGCTCTCCGCTGCTTGATGGACGTTGCTGTGTAGTGGGAGGGAGTCCATGCAGAAGGACTGGGACATGGCTACTATGTTTTTGGGCCACGGTCTGGAAATGGGGGGGGGGGGGAAACCTACCATTACAACACAAATTCAGAATTGCGGTTTTACCTGATAGGGTGCAGACAATCTATCCAGTTTGAGGATATTATGGAATCTCTGCCGCCACCCCGTTTTTTCTCTCTGAGCCTCACTGTAAAACCGCAAATCATTTTGTGATGCTAGTGATGGAAAAAAAAATGGAAACCGGGTCTACCTGCTTTTCATGTTCGGGTTTTTTTTTTTTTTTTTTTTTTTTTTGAAAAAGCATTACAATGATCTATATATAAGAATAAGACCTGTGAGTGAACACTGCCTTTTTAGTGACTGGAACATGGCCCAAACTATAGCATGACTTCTGTTCATGTCTAATCTTAATGCATTGTGACCAGACATAAAAAGTATTGTTCTAAACACCTGGTCAAATAGATTTACAGGGGAGCTAGCTGAAGCAGTTTGCTGGCCATGATTCAGTCTTAGACTTTGGACACATGCTGCTCCTGTGATCCCTTGTTGCTTAATATTTGAGAAACTAGAATACTGCTGTTGTCCGCATGAGAAATGAAAAGAAAATGACTCTGAAAGAATGTTGCAAAAGGTGGCGTTGGCCTTAAAAAAAAGTCGAAAGCCAAAAACAGCAGCTGTAAAAAACGCTCAGTATGCAGAGGACTTTTTTTTTTTTTTTTTTTTTTTTTTTACAGCCAGTAAACCCCCCAGCATGTTATCCTATTTATGGGTTTATGAGAAGGTTTAGAGATTTTTCCTTTTATGCTAGCTGCTTGCTATTTATAATACCTAGCGCTCGTATACCCATTCCTTTTTATGTTCTATGCGTCCATGCACACACAGACTGTAATCTGTTTTTTGACTGGAAACCCCCCCCCCCCCAGAACAGAAGTGTGTTTCTAGAAGAGCTTTTTTAGCTGTAAAAAAGCTCCAATGCTGAAAAATGCAATAAATCGTGGCAAACCAGCGTTTTTGGACTTTGTTTTTTGTTTTTCTTTAGAGCTTTTTTTTTTTTTTGACTAATTTATTTTTTTTTGGGGGGGGGGGGGGGGTAAAAAAAATACAGCTAAACGCAAATACAAAAATCCTTAAACTCTGAAAAACTCACGTTTTTAACATGACTTACCACTAACCTTACCAGTGTTAAAACACCCAGTGTGCATGGAACCAAAGAGATCTGTGAGTAGATACGCAAGTCCAGCCTGCCACTCTGACAGATGGCCTTTAGTTATCACTGCACTTTTATTCCACTGAGAACTACGTCTATTGACATCTACTCTAGCACTTAACTGAAAAGCCCATACCTCGGAACTGGAGGAAAAGTCTATAGGAGCCTAGCATTGCACCCACATTACACTGATCAGAGATGCAATGTTTTGCAGGCGCCCTTATGAAAAATGCATTTTATATATTTTTTTTTTTTTTTCTGCAAATGTGCATTTTATTTTTGAAAGATTTGAAAGCTGAACTCCAGGAAGATGACACAAATTAATGCAGCATGGTAAATTGCTTGCGTTCACAAAAGTACATTTTAAGGATGTATTGTGTACCTTAATGACTTTTTGTATAGGCCTCTTGTAGTCCCTATATAGAAAACCTCAGTGGGATGGAGAAGCACCACAAACGTGCATTGCAGTGCAAGGCGCACGCTGATAGGACAGCAGTGACAGATAAGCTGATCTGTACCTGCTGTCAGTCAGTGTGTGGGGAGTAGACCTGAAAGAATGTAGAAGAGAAATCGGATCCTCTCCCTCAACTCCTGCAAGACTTAGCTGTGTAAACATCAGGACTGGATGGACATACAAAGGAATCAACCCAGAGCCTGAGGATTAAGCGGTTTTTCCCTTTTTTTTTTTTTTTTTTTTTTTTTTTTTTTTTTTTTTTCCCCCCAGTATTCATGGTTTCAAAGTGCATGTTTGAACTTTTAAGATTCCCAATCATTAAAAATTTCAATTAACCTTGCATAAGACTGAAAAAATTTAAATCTAAAACGTGATTATGCTCAAATTTAGGGGTCTTATGTTCTAATTTAGTGGTCACATTTCTAAAGTTGGCCATACATAGATCGACTCCAGTTCAGCAAGGACTGGTCAAATTTTGATCTACTGATCAACTCCTGTTCAACAGTTCTGATAAAAGCCACTTGATCCACTGCTGTAGCTCTGATCTGTGTATTGATGGTGGGGAGGTCTCCCTGCTGTCAAAATACAATGGCACAGTGGGAAGGATTCCCCATCCTCAGATGGGGGAACTAGATCAGGTTTTTCATTCAGCCAGTGGGCTGAATGAAAAGTCTGAAGAGTGTGGCCATGTTTACTGTCCCTTTTTTGGGTGGGAAACAATGAGTGAGTGCCAATGTGGGAGGTTTAGTTGGAAACTTTTTTTTGCCCATGTTCTTATGTTTTCTATAATACAGAGATTTGTTTTTTCCTTATTTGACACAATTTTTGCTCTTTTTATAGGCTGCAGAAAAACTGGGTGAACTGGATAAACTATGCCTAGTTGTGGAAGAATTGGGAGGCCTAGAGAAAATAGAGGCTCTGCAGACGCATGACAATCACATGGTTTACCATGCAGCCTTGGCTCTTATAGAAAAATACTTCTCAGGCGAGGTATGCTGTGTTAATTGAAATTCTGCTATCTTGATTGTCAAAATGTTAGGTAACACCTATAGCTTTTTAAAACCACCATAGGAGCGGTTATACTGCATACCATTTGATAAGTTTTAATAGTCCAAGTTTGTGCCTGTTTATCCAAATTGGTAGTAAAATGGCTCTGCCTATTTTGCCTTGTAGGTGGGTGTTGTGTTAAAAAAAAAAAAAAAAAAAAAAAAAAAAAAAAAACCCCAAAGGTGTAATATCTGATCCTGACAGTTTCTGTTCATTGGTATTCTTCAATAGGCACAGTGAGTCAACACACCAGGAAGTTGGTTCAATTAACATCTCATTTCCAACATGAGTTAGAAACTTAGTATGAAGTATACAAAAAATACTTCATACAATTTCAAATCTGTTCACATTTTGAGTCAAATAATAAATAATGGTATTTCAGACAATTTGTGTTATTTTGTATTTATTTAAATTGGTTACTTTTTTTTTTTTTTTTAAATTTGGATGCATCACAGTCTCTGAACAAAAATTGTCTGACTTTCTCTTTGGAACGAACTGCACATGTCTAAGGCTACGTTCACACTAGCCTTGTGTGCAGGCGGCAGAGAGGCGTTTGGGAAGCGTTTTTACTGCTTCCCAAATGCCTCTGCCAATTCTGCACATTACAGCACATGGTGCTGTTCTAACGGGAGCGTTTGCGTCGCGTTGCGGCAAAACGGACGCCTCTGGTCGAGTCAGGAGGCTTTGAAGCCTCCTATTCTCGTCTATGGTGCCGCTCTGCAAACGCCCGGCCGGCGTTTGCAGTGCGGTTGCGGTTGCGGGGCGTTTGCGGAGCGGTAACACCACTCAAACTGCATTATAGGCGTTTGTGGGGCGTTAACGCTCGGCAAACGCCTAGCAACCGCCGCTAAACCGCGCATGTGGCGTTTGCGGAGCGTTTGCCGAGCGTTAAAAGCTCCGCAAACGCTGGACCAACGCTTGCCCAAACGCTATAGGGGCGTTTGGCAAGCGTTGGCAAAACAGCCTAGTGTGAACGAGCCCTAAGAGCAAGGTTTGGACTACCCTTGAACCTACCCAATTTGAAAGACTTGCATGACAAGATTCTAAGTGCAAAAACTGCTTTGGGAATGTTATTGACATGTATTTCTTTCCCCAGGATGCAGTTATCCATAATGTCAGCTTTTTGTTTTCTCACCAAATTGTGTCTTTTGTTTAGGAAGCAGATGGCATTGCTGTCCTGGAACCAGAAGCCACCAAAGAAAGATATGCATTTCAAGCACCAAATGTAGCAAAGGAAGCTTTCAATTTCTAATGCAGGAGAATCTGGGAAAAGGTCAAGAGCTGGGAATTGTAAATCAAAAAGTCACAATAAAGCAATATTTGTAGAACTTGTCCATTTCTTATTTACGATTTCATTTTTAGTATGCTGGGGCAGTGTAGATAAGTCATAGCCCTACATAACTGCTTTTGACTCCTAATAATTCTATCAAATCAGAACTATAAACAAATTTTAGTTTAGATCAGCTTGTGTGTATTGTATATATTCTAAATGCACCTGTCACTAGGAAATGTTGTGCTATCTACTAACTGTCACATGGTAGTGCAAGATGGTCTTCACCTTTTTTTGTCTGATGTAGAAATGTTCCAAGCCCATAGGGGTGGCATTAAAAAGGAAAAAAAAATTCACAAAATACAGAATAGAAGTTGAACTTTAATTTCTTTAGTATATCGTGATAGGCCTAAAGTGGTTGTAAACTTGTACCTATACTCAGTTGTTCCTATCACCTGAGGATAGTCCCTTTACTGACTGAAGATTTGTTTCACCTGTTTGCAGCCATTTGTCTTGTGAAAAATACTCTTCATCTAAATTTTAAAAGGATGCAGACTCTCAAAGCAGTACTCAGATCTCTTGTACAGTTGTAACTGCTGCTTCTGATTGTGGAGGGAAGGAGCACACCTCCATCCACAGGGCTCACAAGGACAAAGCTGAAGTTGTCAATCTGCTTGGGTTCCCTCCCTTGTCAGTTTTTTCTCAATGTCAGAAAAACTTGCCAAAAGTGATTCATGCTGATAGCAGAGGAAGGAGGCAGCAATCAAACGATACGTTGTACTTGTCTGAATCCAGAGCACTAAGTGGGATGTGCTTTTTGTCTTTCTCCCCCCCCCCCCCCCATCTGAGGTTTACAACTGCTTTATTTACAAAGCTAAGATGTTTGCTGATTTAATGAGTCTTAGACGAGATGCTGTGTTTAGTGTGTTGATAGATAAAAATTAAATGCTGGTTAGTAGTGATCTGATATGTGCATAGGCAGAGATGGGATAGTGTGCCAGCCACTGGCAACATCTCAGATCACTTTTTCCCCAAAGGGTTTAGCTCCCAGGATAGGAGCTGTAACTATTTGCCACCTGCCTCTCCCAAATGCCCAACAAAAAAAATCCCTTTTATCCCCTTTTTTTTTTTTTTTTTTTTTCTTTTGTTATGAACACCGACATTTGTTACATATTTGTGGGGGTTAGATATACATGTGGGTTGGGAATAGAGTATTGCTTTTACATAAACTGCATCATAATTTCATGATATTGGATCAATAAACCTCATGGTAGTGCTTAAATGTCATAATGTGCGATTATTTAAATGCTCCAGTTGAGCGACATAATTTGTACAAAGAACAAACTCTCCTTTCTCTACAGGTAGTAATGTTGCAGGAGACGCATTTCACTGCAGTATCCCTAACTTCAACCCACTATTCTCATTGGTTTCGTGCCCTTTCCAGCAAACTAGGACACAATTTCTGAATCTCAATTTGAAAGTTATGTTTTTTTTTTTTTTGTTTTTTTTTACGCAAGGAGCAGCTGACTTATGCAGAAGGATGCTTTTTGTGTTTTGTAAAGGGGTTCATTGCAGGTCAACTTTGCATAAATTAGGTGCATATATTGCTGCCAATGTGCAAAGTGGATTTCCTTTATAAGACATTGGTTAAACTGACAGTTTATTTTATTTCATTTTTTTTTTTCAGAAGGCCTCCCTATGAGGAGGTAATTTAATCTTTTTGTATTGACCCATTTTTGGACACTTTCAGGGGAAGTAGACCTCTCCTTTTTAGAGCAATTAATCACTTATGCAATAAGTTGCTTCACCCAGTAGATAGTTGTGGAGTTCAATGCCTGCCAAATAAGGATTACAGTTATTACTCTAAAACACATAAAATATACTCATGGTGATATCAGTGTAATAGAAACTATCTAATATATACAATCTGTACTTCAATTGAACAAATTTTAGTACTACCATAACTGGGGCATGGTCTTAAATCGTGAACAGTTGGGAAAGGTTATGGAGACAGATTAAGAACTTGCTTGACAGGAATATGGTAAATAAGTTGCAGCAGCTTTTTAAGAATACTATAACAACCTTAGGGGTGTTGCTTCTCCCTAGGATATTTGGGAAGGACATAAGGTAGTAATAAGCGGAGTAAGCGATGCACTTGGTACATGCATTAAGAAACAGGAATTGGATAATCTTATAGTTGAAATTCACACATTTTAGTCAGTTTTTTGTTTTTTTTTCAAAAGTTTGAACAAACTCTCAGAACTGTGAGAAACTAGCTACACTAATAGAATGTAGAAGAGCTAAATTTAACAAGACACAATAGGTAGAAATTGAAACCGGAACTAACACTTCCCCATTTAAAAAAGGGGGATAAACGGGTGCGGGATCGTATGACCACTATGATGCTCAACGAACAGATGTCGAGTATCCGCAACGACTCCCAACATAAATTTTTTAAAATATGGGAGCCGTAATTGCAATATGCCTTTCCCAAACTCTCCCCGGCTAGTCTGGGGATGTAATGGCATTCGGTATTGGCGCTCTTGGACCCCTGCCCCTTGCCCCTCCTTTTTTTTTTTTTTTTTTTTTTTTTTCTCTTTTTCTTCAGCTCTTCTTCTTTTTTCATTCTTTCTCTATTTTGGTGTGACTGGCCTGCTGCATTTAGTTGTTAGTCAGTTACAGTAACTTTTTTGTAATTTATGTGCCATTGATAGCCTCTGTGTGGGCGTACCTTTTGCCCTGTTGGCATTAGAGCACTGTTTTTCCCCTTTTTTTTTTGCATTTTTTTTTTTTTTTTCTGTGCCATTGATAGCCCCTGCGTGGGCGTGTTTTATTGCCTCTCTTTTATACTGTTTAAAAATTAATTAAAACCTTTGAAATAGAAAAAAGGGGGATAAACATCAGGAAATGCAAAGTTATAGAAGAAAATGTGACAATGAAAACTATACAGTTGCAAGAAAAAGTATGTGAACCCCTTGGGATTACGTGGAGTTTTGCATGAATTGGGCATAAAATGTGCTCTGAACGTCTTCTAAGTCACAACAATAGAAGAACACAGTCTGCTGAACATAATACTACACAAACATTAGATGTTGACATGGTTTAATTGCACATAACATGTAAACATTCACAGTGCAGGAGGAAAAAGTATGTGAACCTTTGAACTTAACTGGTTGACCCTCCTTTGGCAGCAATAACCTCAACCAAACATTTCCTGTAGTTGCAGATCAGACCTGCACAATGATCTGGAGTAATTTTGCACCATTCCTCTTCACAAAACTGTTTCAGTGTAGCAATATTCTTGGGATGTCTGGTGTGAATCGCTTTCTTAAGGTCATGCCACAGCATTTCAATCGGGTTGAGGTCAGAACTCTGACTGGGCCACTCCAGGAGTATTCTGTGCTGTTGCAGCCGTTTTGTTGAATTACTTGTATGCTTTAGGTCATTGTCCTGTTGCATCACCCATCCTCTGCGGAGCTTCAGTTGGCAGACAGATGGTCGTACGTTTTCCTGCAAAATGTCTTGATAAACTCTGGAATTCATTTTCCCATCAATGACAACAATCCGTCCAGGCCCTGAGGCAGCAAAGCAGCCCAAAACCATGATGCTCCCTCCGCCATGTTTTACAGTGGGGATGAGGTTTTGATGTTGGTGTGCTGTGCCTTTTTTTTTTTTTTTTTTTTTCTCCACACATAGTGTTGTGTGTTCTTCCCAAACAGCTCAATCTTGGTTTCATCTGTCCACAGTATATTTTGCCAGTAGTGCTGTAGAACATCCAGGTTCTCTTTTGCAAACTTCAAACGTGCTGCAATATTTTTTTTGGACAGCAATGGCTTCCTCCGTGGTGTCCTCCCATGTACTCCATTCTTGTTTTAATGGTTTTCCTTCTTGTAGATGTGTCAACAAAAATGTTAGCATGTGCCAGAGATTTCTGTAGGTCTTTAGCTGACACTCTGGGATTCTTCTTTACATCATGCAGCATTCTGCGCTGTGCTCTTGCAGTCATTTTTACAGCATGACCATGCCTAGGGAGAGTACAAATGGAGAAAGTTTAGCACTGTTGCTAGACAGTCTGTCTTACCGTGGACACATGAACATCAAGGCTTTTGGAGATACTTTTGTAACACACTTTCCAGCTTCATGCAAGTCAACAATTCTTGATCGTAGGTCTTCTGAGAGCGCTTTTCTGCGAGGCATGGTTCACATCAGACAGTGCTTCTTGAAACCAGTAAACCCAAAACAGGTGTGTGTTTTTTAAGGGCAGAACAGCTGTCAGCAACACATCCAATATCATCACACTGATTGGAGTCAAGGTTGGCTCACTCCTGGCTCCAGTTAGCTCTGGGAGAAACCATTAAGCTAGGGCCTCACATACTTTTTCCTCCCTGCACTGTGAATGTTTACATGTTATGTGCAATTTAAACCATGGCAACATCTAATGTTTGTGTAGTATTATGTTCAGCAGACTGTGTTCTTCTATTGTGACTTAGATGATGTTCAGAGCACATTTTATGCCCAATTCATGCAAAACTCCATGTAATCCCAAGGGGTTCACATACTTTTTCTTGCAACTGTACCTAGAGTATAAACATAAGTTCTCATGAGACCCAAACATGAACTATACACCTAGACTTATCCAGCATAAGGAGGAATGGCACAAAATCACTGCCTGCTCTGCTGAGGGGGAGGCTCAATAAAATGCTGCTATTACTTTAAAAATGTACATGAGTTGTGTAAAAGAGAGGAAAGAAATGGAAAATAAAAAAATTGGAGTGTCTGTAGCAACCCTAAGTATACATTCATGGGACATGACTAAAACGGCTGCAGAGAGGGCTAACGAGGCATACCTTCAACCTTTTACTGTATCTGCCTTTTGAATGGATCTGAGAGAAATACATGATCCAGATCATCCAAAGCAGAAAAAAACTTGTCAGATGTTTCATGTTTTTGGGCAGGCAGTTCCTCTATTCGGTCATTCATAA